TTAAAGACACTAATGAATAACTTTGGTTTAGTATATCATGCAATGTGTGACATAATATCATAGAAATAATAAATATCTTTTATTTCTATGCATAATGTCGACAAAACTGAATTAATATCTCCCATGAAAATGTTGTTAAATTTAACGTAATTACGGTTTTGATGCTTTCTTGAACGAATGGATCAATGAAAATAGCTTCGCATAATTATTTAACAAAAGAAAATGCCACACGTCATGTATTTTGATATTTTTACCACAGCCCAAGAAATTCAAATCCTGAAAGTTCCTGCAAAGACGACGGTATACAATTATTTAAAACTGTTTCAATTAACCACTAGATCACTTTATGATAGCCCACATTCAAGAACATGTATTACCACTGCATGATCTAGCTAACCATGCTTAACTCTGCAGTGAGTTCTGCACAACGTCAGATCACTTTAAGATAGCCCACATTCAAGAACACGTACTACCTCTACATGATCTAACCATGCTTAACTCAGCAGTGAGTTCTGTACAACATCAGATCACTTTAAGGTAGCCCACATTTAAGAACATGTACTACCTCTGCATGATCTAACCGTGTATAACTCAGCAGTGAGTTCTGTACAACATAAGATCACTTTGAGGTAGCCAAAGAACATGTACTACCTCTATATGATCTAACCATGCTTAACTCAGCAGTGAGTTCTGTACAACATCAGATCACTTTAAGGTAGCCAACATTCAAGAATATGTACTACCTCTGTATGATCTAACCATGCTTAACTCAGCAGTGAGTAAATTCCATACAACATCAGATCACTTTAAGGTAGCTCACATTCAAGAACATGTACTACCACTGCATAATCTAACCATGCTTAATTAACTCGACAGTGCATTCTGCACAACATCAAATCACTTCAAGGTAACCCACAGTCAAGAATATTAATAGCTACCTGCATATACTGTACACGATACATGCGTATCAGTAACTGATCTAACAATGCTTAACTCAGCAGTGAGTTCTGTACAACATCAGATCACTTTAAGGTAGCTCACATTCAAGAACATGTACTACTTCTGCATGATCTAACCATGCTTAACTCAGCTGTGAGTTCTGTACAACATCAGATCACATCACTTTAAGTTAGCTCACATTCAAGAACATATACTACCTCTGCATGATTTAACAATGCTTAACTCAGCAGTGAGTTCTGTACAACATCAGATCACTTTAAGGGTGGCCCACATTCAAGAACATGTACTACCTCTGCATGATCTTACAATGCTTAACTCAGCAGTGAGTTCTGTACAACATCAGATCACTTCAAGGTAACCCACAGTCGAGAATATTAATGGATACCACATGCGCGATACATGCGTATCAGTAACTGATGTTTTCTGAACAATGCGTCTCATTTAGGTACTGCGTGCCTGAAAGTCAAAAAGAAAGAAATCAATATCGCTAGCCCAGATTCTACTTACTCAAAGAAAGAGAAAAATACAAGAGAAGATATCGAACGTATTGATGTTAACGGGGATCTCTATGCTCTACCTGATAAAAATAAGAGTACCAAAAAGGTGAAAAGTTTAATTAATTTGAAAGAGAGGAATGCTCATAAAATGATACAATAGCATAAGAAATTATCTAATTTAGACTAAACTAAGATGGGCTATTAAATTCACTTTAATAGTACTTTTGAAATTGTTCTCTCTAAAGGTCCAGTAAGTAGCTCTCGTGTGCGGCGGGCTTTACAAGATGATAACAACTTGTTCCAGACATGTCAACAACTGGGAACAAGCAGTGCGAACACATCTTGTTGACAAGCTGTGAGATGTTTGCGCGTATTCACGTAAAAACACACAAGTTTTAACAAACCTGCAGCAGACTTGTAGAAATTCTATTTCAACAGCTTGTCAACAGGATGTATTCGCACTGCTTGTTCCCAGCTTGTCGACAACTTTCTACATGATTATTGAGCTCAACAGACAAGTTGTTCCAATGTTTCGTCCTGCAATTCAACAATTTGTCGACAAGTTGTGAGTGATAACCTTGCAACAACTTGATAAAATAGCAGCATTGTTACAACTTGTTGACAAGCTTGCTACAAGCCTGTTGCGAACACATCTTGTTGCCACGTTGTGAGATTTGTACCTGTGTAGCTTTAGACACTAACACCCAATGTGCCATTGGCATTGAAACCAACTATACTTTTATATGACTGATGTTTTTTTAATCTATACAGATTAATGGTTTAAACTACATGGATCCTTCACGGTTGGTTTCTGGCAGTCAAGACGGAAATGAAAGCCAGGCTCAATCAGGCCAGCCTACTGAATACGCAGAAGTTGTGGGAGTCATTAAGCCAGCGCCGAAAAAAACCCAAAAAGAAAAAATGAACGCAAGTATTAAATGAATGAATCGGAAAGGAATAATTGTATGCATACTTTTTATGTTTGTTTTGTTTCTTGTTGTCATCCTAGTGCACAACTGTATATATATAAAGTTGTTCTTAGGTCAATTGCCGTTGAATTACACGTTACACGAGCGAAGCAGGAATAGATTTTACAAGCAAAATTTTACCGCTTAGCACAAAGACTGAGTACTACAGTATATAGTCATATACAGAAAATATTTAAAGGGTATGGGCAATGATGTTCATGTCTGTTTTTGCAAGAAAGAACTCCGTATTTTATCATTTTCCTTCTTGAGATATTTGAGGTTGTTTAATATGCAAATTTGCAAAGACGTCACAAGCTGGTAAAATATTTTTAAAAAATGCCAGTCACCGGCATCAAAGTTATAAAAGCTCACCATTCAGAACAGATGAAATAATTTAAGTCTGTATCGATGATTCCATTGACCAATCAAGTCTTGTTACAAGGTTGATGACGGTAACAGACTAGCTTAAAATGCCAATCCCGCCAAAGTCATAAAAGCTCATTGTTCAAAATAGATGAAATGATTTAAAGGCACAGTTCAGCCTTTTGAACGATGGTTTTTAAGGCGC